CTTAACCACTGCACCACCAGGCCTCCTCCGGAACCAATAGGAGATTTAGCTTAAGGAATTGGCTCACACAGTTGTGGAGGCTGTCAAGTTTGAAATCTATAGAGCAGGCCAGCTGGCTACACTCAGGCAGTTGATGTTATAGCCTTGAGTTTGAAATCTACAGGGCAGGTGGCAGGCTGGAAATTCAGGCAAGATTTGTCTGTTACAGCCTGGAAGCAGAATTCCTTCTCCAAGAAACCTCAGTTTTTCTCTTCAGGCCTTTACCTGATTGGATCAGGCCCACCCACACTGTCTAGGGTAATCTTAACTTAGAACCAACTGATCGTACATGTTAATCCCATCTACAAAATACCTTCCCAGCAACATCTAGACTAGTGTTTGACTAGACAACTGGGCACCACAGCCTAGCCCAGTTGACACATAAAATTAACCATCACACAGTCAGAAAGAATATCTCTATTTCATGTTGAAGGATGTCTGACTAGGAATACCTTTTGTATTTCCTTTACCTAGAGTAATAACAGCAGATCAAACGTGTTCCTTATTGTTCGCCTATAAGCAGGGCAAGGAGATGAAAATGTTGAGATTGTAGTCATGGATCAAACTCCTTACCCCCTAAAATATTTAAATGAAATACATGTCTATTGTATGATTAACTGAAGTGTGTAATAATTTACTTTGGGGTGTCTAAGAAGGAATGCATTTCTTTTCTGTGCACTTAAACAGTATCCTGCATTCCGGTAGTATTTATTCATACAATGTTCCCATAATGTGCTTCCTTGTCATGGCCTTTAGTGTGAGTGCCCTTACATACTGTGACCACTTGACAGCCTGCAGCCTGGTTGTTTTCAGATGAATCCTAGCGACCCCTTCCTCTTGGGGCTACGGTGCTTCTCCCCTGCAGTGTTCATTCTGACTTCATCATTTCAGCTGACGGCATTTGGTGGATTCCTGAAATACACAGTGTCTTACGATATTCCTGTGGACGCAGTGGACAGTGACCTAGTGTCTCATGCCGACGTTATCATTAAGGTAATTGTTTTCATGTTGTTTTGCCGTTGAGCTTTAGAGGTTAGTGGGCCATAGAGCTGTGAATCAGAGTGGTTCAGGGACGTCATAGTAACCAGGAATCGCGACCATGCGGCCACTCAGCGGACACCAGTAAGAATCGTGCGGGAGCGAGCGTCCTGTCTTTGGCCCGTTTTTGGAGCTGCCTCAGGACAGAGCAAGTTGCTGTCCCCTTGATCCCCGCAGCTTGCCCATCTTTTCACACTTAAAAGGGAAGTGAGCTCTTGCTCCGACTTTGGATCTACTCCCTCAGCCCTCTCAAGCCCCACTTTCGCCTCCTGCCACTTTGCTGTCCCAAGTGAACCAGTGAGGCAGGGCTGGCGACAAGGACACCAGCCACCTGCAGCCACTTTTGTAGGTTCCTCTCACGTGCCCTCTCCCTCTGCCCTGTACCCCCTTCACCAAAAGACACATCTCCACCGAGCTTGCCTCTCCCAGAAGGATTCCCAAAACGTTAGTGCCGGGGTGTGCAGCGCGTGTCTGCGGAACAATTTAAATGCCTCGTCCCCAGTGTCTCCACTCCTCCCCGTGACCACTGTCTCAGTGCTGCAGCAGGCGGAAGCCGTGCAGGGCAAGCGATTTCTGTTAGCAGCAATTCTGTGGACAGCCGGAGGTGTATATGTCTATGCTTTTTCCACGTCTGTCCTGTAGATTAAAGATTAGGGGGTCAGACTGGTGTCTTTGATAAAAGCTGGGGCAAAGGCATGACCCTGTTTATTTTCCCAGACTCCAGCCAAGTCTACACTCCCTAGATTTATTATCTGAAGCCCTCTGAGAGGAATACAATGCAACAACTTCTCTTAACTCTGGACCAAGAATTACAGCCTCCATCATATTTCTTGCCACAAAAACCTATGCACAATGAAAAACTAGGTTGCTCAATGAAAAACTAGGTTGCTGAATAAAAAACTCGACTGTATTTTTTGGTCATTAAATTGAATTATAGGTATGTCTCCTCTTCTTGTTCAATGTTAGGGAAATGGACTCACTCTGAGCACACAGGTGGAGGGCCTGTCCCTGCAGCCCTATGAAGAATACCTCAACGTGGTAAG